GCAGGGTCCAAACACCAGGAGTTCCTTTCCTTCCCAGGCAGGGGGAGAGGGGACATTCTGGATGACCCTGAGACAGAGGCTGCCCCAGACCTGGAGCTGGGCTCAGGGCTTCACGTGGCCGAAGGAAGAAGAGCCTGGGCCTGGGGAAAGGCCGGCCTCACTCTGTGCCCCCCATGCCACCTGCCTCCAAGTGACCTGCGCCCCATGTGACTGGCATGCCATGTGACCTGCACACCATGTGACCCCAAGCCTTCATCTCCCCGGCCTGGGCGTCGTACTCTGGACTCAGTGCTGCTCTGAAAAGGCCGTCGAACTGGGCACCGAGCCCAGGCCGGTGTCTGCAGGGTGGCCTGTCCTGCCTGGAGAATCGAGCCCAAAGCCTCTCTGGGGCTGAGGTTTCCATGACAACAGGCTGCAGAAATCCAAACAGGAAGCATTTCTCCTGGTGTCCTGGGGTTGGGTGGATTAGACGAGGTCGGGTGCACGTGGTGAGGTGCAGGCAGACGACAGGGCTGAGTGAGATGGGACGTGATGTAACGTGTGCTCCCTGCATTATCGTGCTTTTTCCCACGAGAATGTGCCTTCCGAGTGGGCAGGAGTCCATCTCACCAACACCTGCCACAGCAAACAGTCGACATTCGATGCATAGTTACATAGCTAATCCCTGAGTCATCCAATAGAAATATAATGCGAACCACATATGTAATTTTAAATTTTTAGTAGCCATATTATAAAAATAAAGCAATATAGGTGAAATAAATTTTAATAATATATTTCTTTTAACACATATATCCAAAATGTTGTCATTGCTTGACATACAATTTTTTAAATTATTGAGATATTTTACACTCTTTTATTCATATTGTCTTCAGTATCTGGTGTGTATTTTACAATACTGTACATGACTAGCTGCATTTCAAGGTCTCAATAGCCTCGTATGGCTGGTGGCTTCCTTATTCGCCAGTGCTGATCTAGACTCTTTGTTTTCCTAGATCAAAAGTATGGGTGACTGCCCAAAGGTATGGGCGATTTCTTCAGCCATCCTGACAGCTCAGAACATCAGGAGGCTGTGGGGAGACACAACCAGGAAAGTCCCATGGGGAGAGCTCCATCTATTCAAATGCGTTCAAATATGACCATTTCTTAAGCACCTACTTACTACATGTTTTGACTCGGTGTTCACAGGAGATAGACGCAGCCTCTGCTCTCTATACCCTACACCCACCTGACCCGCCCAGCTTCAGATCTCCTCACCCAGTACTTCCTATAGAGTTGGAAGGGGGAGTGGCAATAAATGGCCTTCTTTTCTATGGTCTGTAATTATCAACTCATCTCATTGTCCCTTTTTAGAAAACCAAAGTCTGCCTATTTTTTTTTTTTTTTGGTGAGGAAAATTGGCCCCTGAGTGAACATCCATTGCCAATCTTCCTCTTTTTGCTAAAGAAGATTAGCCCTGAGCTAACAGCCGGGCCCATCTTCCTCTATTTTGTATATGGAATGCTGACACAGCATGGTTTGATGAGCGGTGCATAGGTCCCTGCCCGGGATCCAAACCTGCGAACCCCAGGCCACCAAAGCAGAGTGCGCTAACTTAACTACTACGCCACCGGGCCGGCCCCCAAAGTCTGCATTTTTGTAATATTTTAATCTATTAAGCACATTTCTGTTATACCTGAGCATGCTTCTTTCACATACACCACAATCTCATTTAATCCTTTCGGCAACTCTGATTTAGGAGTTTTAGCACAGTTTTCAAATAGGGAAAAGTGAGGCTTGCAGAAGCATGGCGACTTTAGGATGAAAGAACTTAGAGAAAGAAGAATTTTCTACTGCAGTCCCAACCATTTCCCCTCAGTGAGGTTCCTGATGAGATCTGTGGAAAATGTCAGGTGCTGGGACTGTGCACTTCAGACCCTAGAAGGCTGCAGGGAGAGCAAATAAAACATCCTGGTGCCATCTAAAACCCCGAACCAGCCCTGGAGTACACAGCCCCAGGCCCTGTCGCTTACTAGCTGTGTGATGTGGGCGAGGCAACTCAGAGTAATAAAAATCGCTAGCATTTATTATCTTTCCCATGTATCAGGCTCTGGCCCAGGCAATTGCTCGTATACTTCCTCTTTCTCACAAAATGATAGATAGTTCATTTTACAGATTAGGAATCTGGGCCTCAGAAAAAGTAAATTGCCAAAGGTCACACAGCCAATAAGCCGGAGAGCCAGGATTAGAAAACATTATTAAATGTATTAATGTTTGTTTTGTAATGCAACTTTAACCTCACTCCCCCATTGCATACTTAAAAAGAACATCTTAAAGAATTTGAAGACTACCAATGTATACCATAAACGACTGTATATTCGTGTTATAAAGCTAAAAGATTGTAAAGTATGAGCAGATAGGAATTGCTTTCAATGTGCTTTTTTTTTTAATACAAAAATAAAGGTTTTATTATTCATTTGCAAGTGGTAACTTGCCAAAACAATTAAAAGAAGTAGGCTTTCAAAAGAGACAGTTATACTTGCACTGTTCAGTTCATGGGGCTGTTGTTATCATTGAGAGAGAAGGAATAATAAAAGCATTTTGAGGGGCCAGCCTATTGGCATAGCTGTTAAGTTCTCGAGTTCAGCTTCGGCGGCCCGGGATTCGCTGGTTCAGATCCTGGGCAGGTACCTACCCACCACCCATCAAGCCATGCTCAGGCAGCGTCCCACACAGAAGAACTAGAAGGACCTACAACTGTGTACTGGGGCTTTGGGGAGAAAAAAGAAGAAAGAGGAAGCTTGGCAATAGATGTTAACTCAGGGCCACTCTTCCTCAAAAAAAAAAAAGCACTTTGAAAGTGTAAAGAGGTGACAAATGTCAGATAGCGTTAGAAACATGTTAAAGCAAACTGCAGTTATAAACTAATATGAAATGTATATGAAGATACATTTCTTAATCTTTATTAGGAGTCTGCAACCTTGAAAATAGGAGTGAGAGAACAAAAATATTACTAGAAAGAAATGGAGGGAAAAGAAAATGAAAGATAAAAGAAAAATCGAGAAAATAGCTGTCTTTCTTGAAAGAGCACAGAAAGAGAGAAGAAGGGAGAGAGAGAGAAGAAAAGGAAGGAAGGAAAGAAACAAAGAAAGAGAAAGGAAAAGGAAGAAGGAAAAAGCAAAGGAAGCTATGAAAAAAATAAGCACAAATTGTTGGAGCCAGGCACTTCCTTCAAGAAAAAGAAACTGGCTATGACCCGCTTACCACTGAGGCTGGGTACAGTTTTTGCGACTGTTTAGAGAAAATCTAGCGCTCTCCCCGCCATTAATCTTTTCTAAAGAAAGACTTTGTTCTGCACCTGTATAAACAATCCAGATTTTTAAAACCTATATGCCTGCCTCTAATGTGTGAGACTATGTATTTATACTGATAGCTTCAAGTCATCAATAGGCGAGGCAAAAAGCTAGCCTGGGATCTGCCCTTGACATCTTTTTGTTCCCCGCCTCTTTTTCTGCTTTCCTCCTTCGCCTGGCGCACCTAGAGTCAAGTTCAAGTTCAAGCGCTCCAGGAAAAATTTCTCCTCTCTGTGAGATATTTCCTGTGCTTTCCCAGCCCAGAGAGAACTGAGAGAGAGTGATCTTTTTACTCAACTGATCCTTGAAGGAACCCCTCCCCATCCCCAACAAAATGACAAAATTTACCGGGAGAAAACCGCCGCAAACGGGGGCCAGCGGGAGGGGTTGTGAAACATCCCCCACGAGGGAAGCATGGCCTGGGAGACGAAGGTGGGACGATGCCTGAGTGATGAAGTCAGCCCGGGCCAGCCACATGTTGAGGCACTGCAGGCACAGAGCCCGGCGCATTTGTTCTGCTCAAGGGGTTGCCGGGCCAGGCTGGTCCAGCGGCGTCTGCCTGCTCTGTCCTGGGCTGACTGCACACCCATCTCTTTGCACTTCGCTCAGTTTGGGATGGCTTTTAGGGAAGGACAAGAAAACCTAAGTCGGGTGTGAAGACTCAATTTCCTCATTGTAAAACGGAGTAACCATACTTTAACCTCAGAGAGTTTCCATTCTTTAGTTGTTTTAGTGTTTTTGTTTTATTTTAATTGCTCAGAGGGCAGTCACATGGCGTCTGCGCAGTGTCCGGCACACAGGGTGTTTTATCATCGGTTGACACGGGACACGATAATTTTGGGTGCTGTTTTGTCGTTTTCTATGTTGGACGATTGTGCTGACTTAGCATTCTGCATCCAGGAGCGTGCTCTTCAAAACACAATCCAAAATAGTAATTGATTCGCTAGACTATAACTCAAAGCCTTGGGGCAGGATCCTGTCATATGCGTTGTGCTATTAAAAACAAAATCAAGCATGGAACTCTCAAGATAGTAGAAAATAGCAGGTACAATATCCTGTGGTGTGTGGCTGGGAAGCGGGCGGCAATCGAGGGTCAGGAGATTCTAAACACGGATGTTGGGTTCATCATCTACTTACCAGCCTGGTGATTTGAGGTCCTTTACTCAGTATGGATCTCTGAGGCTTAGCTTCAAGTTCTGCAAAATGGAGATAATGACATTTGAGTCACAGATGTTGTTTGAAAATGAAACGAACCGATGTAGAGAAAAGTGCTTTGTAAGTCATAAAGCGATGCTAAAGGAAAAGGAGGAGGAAGAAAATGCGAGGTAACTGTTGCGGATTGTTCGGTGTTGTCTGCTTGTTTTGCTTTTACTCCTGTGTCGGGCAAGCCTTGGATAGCCAGTCACACATTCTGGCTGATGAACTTGGAAAACAGATTTCTGCTGAAAACTCTGGGAGAGAAGCAGAGGTGGCGATCCTGGGGTTTTAAGTGTCTGACAATCTTCACCACCGCTAAGATGAGCTGGGAGTGAAAGTGGGGTGGGTACGAACAAGGTCCCCTCCTTCACTCGCCCAGCGCACACGTCTCGTACTGACAATCTGAGGGTCCATCGGGCACACACGCCCCCCCTCCTCGGGGCCAAACCTCGGCTCAGCAGAGACTTCCCCTTCCCCCGCCCCCACCAGTAGATCTTCGGAGCTCAGAAAAGCGGTCCCCACCCCTTCCACGCCCCCGCCCCACCTCTTGCCCCCCTTTCCGACCCCCTCTTCGTTGCCCGGGGTGGTTTGTTCCGGGGAGCACAGATAAATAGTCCTGTCAAAAGGCGCAGCTCGCGGCTGTGCACGCCGAGCCTGGGCCGGGCCGCCGACTTCCCCGCCGCGCTCTCCCGGGTCCGCGGCAGGGCTCGCTCGCTCGCGCCGCTCGGCTCCTCCCGACCCAGGTCTCTCGTCCTCCTCGGAGTCCGGCCTGGCCCCCGCCTCCGGGAGGGAGCGGAAGGCGGAGACCGCGAGACTGGCCTGGGGGAGGGAGGCGGGCGCGCGTGGGGCCCGGGGGACGCAGCGATGTCCACCGGCTCGGTGAGCGACCCCGAGGAGATGGAGCTGCGGGGGCTGCAGCGGGGGTACCCGGTCCCCGCCTCTAAGAGGCCGCCCCTCCGCGGCGCCGAGCGCAGCTACATCTCGCCCAGTGACAACTCGTCGGCCGAGGAGGAAGACCCCGACGGCGAAGAGGAGCGGTGCGCGCTGGGCGCGGCCGGCGGCGCCGGAGGCTGCAAGAGGAAGCGGCCCGGCGTGGCTGGGAGCGGCGGCGGCAAAAAGCCCCTCCCGCCCAAGGGCTCGGCCGCCGAGTGCAAACAGTCGCAGCGGAACGCGGCCAACGCCCGCGAGCGCGCCCGGATGCGCGTGCTGAGCAAAGCCTTCTCCAGGCTCAAGACCAGCCTGCCCTGGGTGCCCCCCGACACCAAGCTTTCCAAGCTGGACACGCTCCGCCTGGCTTCCAGTTACATCGCGCACCTGCGGCAGCTGCTGCAGGAGGACCGCTACGAGAACGGCTACGTGCACCCGGTGAACCTGGTAGGGGCGCCGCGCGAGGCCCGGGGCGAGCGGCCAGGAGATGCCCAGGGCGCTCCTGGGCGCGGGGCAGAATCGGCCCGCTGGGAAGGCCCCCCGAAATGGGGGTTCTGGTACGGGTGGTGAGGAGGCCAGTTTAGTTTCTCCCAAATCACGGGAGGGGCCGGCCATTTTCCTGGAGAAGAACCATCCACCCTTCTGTGTTTGCATCATTCTGATCTTTGTACGTGGTGCTTTGCCCAGTGACAGCTATTGGTTAATATCCTACTTCCGGGGTGAATCTGGGTTCCGTTTGAGTCTACTACCCGGTTGCAGACTGAATGGCAGATCTCCCTCTCCCTGCTTTTTCCAGCTAAGAGTCTGACAGGTTTGATTCAACAAGCCCTACTTTCTCAAAGGAAGGAGAGAAGGCCGAGCTCTATTAAAAAGCCTTTGGATTTTTTAATTCTTGCAGAAAACCAGAGGTTTCCCCAAATGGGATTTGTCTGGAAAGTCCCTCTCCGACCTGCCAACTCTCCCGGCTTGAGAAAGATCATATCCCAGTTCCTACTTGGAGCGGAGGACTGATTGTGTGTGTGTGTGTGTGTGTGTGTGTGTGTGTGCTGGGGGAAGGGAATTAAACCGCAAAATCCCAAACTCATGCAAGTTTCACCGAATCATCGTGAGGGCGAGTCCAGGAGAAAGCACGGACCGACATCTCATGTCTCACGTCAAGTCCAGTAAAATTAAAATCCTCGTTTAGAGAGGAGACACGCAAATTCTCAGAACACTGATAAAATCTGAACTACTCAAAGCCAGGGATATTCCAGGGTTCACTTAGGGGAGCGGTTTCGGTTTGAGACAGGACTATTTATTTGTATTCCTCCAGTATCTGACGCTCTTTTTGATTTTACAGACATGGCCATTTGTGGTCTCGGGACGGCCCGACTCGGACACCAAAGAGGTTTCCGCAGCCAACAGATTATGTGGGACCACCGCTTAGATCGAACTCGGACTCACTCGAGGAGATTATTGATTAAGCGCGTGTTTGGGGGGCCACGGAGAGAAAGGAGACAGCATGAGAACCCCCAGAGAAAGGGAAGAAAGTTCCATTGGATTCTCCTAGACCATCCCCCCGCGAACTGCGAACACCGCAGGTGGCGGGCGTGGGGGGGCAGAGCCCGAGGGTCAGTGGCGTGGCTGTCATCGCAGGGCGCACGGCTAAGGCTGCCTGGGATCTGGGCGACGACACTTTACCTGTCCAGAAAGAGCCTCCTTCCGTTGAGAGCGCAGACCCAGATCTAAACTCGGGCTTTAGCAGTGTAGACTAACCCCCGCGCTGTGGTCTGAGCCCAGCGCCAAACCGCCTAGGGGTTAGTTTCCAAGCTGAGCCAGGTGTGATGGCACGAGTCTGCACAGCCTTCTATGGTTAGGCAACGGTTAGAACGCGCTCTCGATGATCGCCTTTAAGGACAGAAGTCTTCACGTGAGACCCACATCGGGGCATGTTTTTAAGTTGCAAAGAGAGGAGAGTGGCGTGCTTGGGCCAGGTTTGTATCCCACAGGGCAGCGCCCTCCTAGCCGACAGGACGATGACCTCTGCGCATCGGGAGAGGAGGCACGCTTTCAGAGACCACCGGAGCCGGGTTTTGCCGCGAGCGCTTCCGGCCCCTGCCCCCCACCCCCAACCTGGCTGCGGTCTTCCGCCCACAACTCCTTGCAGCGCCCCCACCCCGACTCCTGACTGTCCCCACCTGGCCTCCCTCCTCCAGGCTCAGGGCGCTCCCTCCTCCAAGCGCTTTCCGGAGCCCAGGATCTTCCTGACTCCGCGAGGAGCGCGGGGTGGGCGGCTGAGGCTGTTCGGTACCCAGTGACGCTGCTGGGGGGAAGGCGCCGCTGCCTCCAGGCTGCACTACCACGGTAATTAGCAAATGTAAATAAATTTATTTTTTTATGAATAATAAAACGCATTGTGAAAACCGAGTGCCCCTGGGTGCGTCAGAATGTGGTCTTTGTTGCCCTTTACCGAGTTTGGTCTGGAAGTTAAAGGTGCCCTCTTTGCTCTGGACAGGGATCGGGTCCTTGTCGGCGGAAGGATAGCGATCACGTTTGGATCGCTGCATTTCCAAATGGAACCCTCATTAATTTCTACGATTCTGATTCTTCTGGAGACAAGGGATACTGGAAGGCAAGAACAGGGGGCTTATGAGGCCCTAAGAGTCTTTTGGGAGGCAGGGCCAAGTGGAAAGGTGCACTCTTTCTGGCGCCCTTGCACACAACACATATATACACTCTTCAAAGTAAAAAAGGTGCACATCTTTCTGGCGCACTTGCACACAACACACACGCACACACACACACATACACAGGACGCTTTCTCCAGCCTAAAGCACACTCCACTGCTTAAAATTGCAAGTAGCTCAAGAACCCCTACAGCCCCCACACGGGAGTGCCTGGTGGGTCTCAGGTCTAACAGGCGGAATAAAACCATACTACAAGGAGCCAATTTGTATTTCAGTAGAGCTTCTTTTTTTTCAAATAATGTTTACATAGCGTGTGTAACGTACACCACCTCACTTTCCTCGTTATTTTCTTCCACGTTCACTGCAATTTTCGCAGGAAATAATAACCTGGGAACCCATTATATGATTTTTAAGCACCAGTCTTTTTTAAAGCAGCATTCTCTCTGTAGAATATTTAGAAAATTTAGAGAAGTGTGAAGGGTGAAACCACCTAAACAATTGCCCCATTTGGGGTGTGTCCGGTATTTTATAAAATTGAAAGGCAGTTGTCTTGACCAGAGATAGAAAATACAGCGGAGTTTAGGAGGTGAATGGGAGGTGGGGGAGCATGGCTGTCTGTTTTGAACTAAACCAAACCAAAACTCTGGAAAACTGCTTTCTGACCATTTTCTTGGGCTTATTCATACCCAGGAGGGATCCGGCCCCCGGGACGGAATCTTCAGTGGCTGCAGCCAGGGCTGAGGGTTTACATTTGTTGGTTTCTGTGGCATCGGGGCTCTCTGGTAAAAGAGAACTGGGGAGTAACCAGTGACAGGAAACCCTACCTGGTGGTTAAAGGCACTTAGGCAGCCATAGTTCTGAGCTGCAGGCTTCTTGGGGGTGGAGTGTCTGCAGGAGGCCAGCTCTTAGTCAAAGTCTTTTCCAAAGCTTCCAGCAAATGAGGTCCTTTTCACGGAAAGGAGGCAGCGTGGTATGTTGTTAAGGTGAACTTGAATGTCTACAGAACCCAGATCGAAATCCAGGCTCTGCCACCTCACAGACTAGCGACCTATGCAATTCTTCTAAGCCTCAGTTTCCTCATCTACAGAATGGGAGTAATAGTGCCTACCTGGGAAGGTTGTCATCAGGAATAAATGTGGTAACAATGTCTAAGCAACCCTCCTCGTAGGCAGTGAGCATCACCCTGAGTGCTGATTCCTGAAGGAAAAGGGGAGCATGCTGTGGTAAAGGGGGACACTTGAGACACGCGAGACATTTTGGATATTCACTCTTTAGGACTGGATCTGGTTTTGAGATGCCTGGATTACAACCGTGAAAGAAAAGTGTCCCTCAAGGGCAGAAACACAGAAAAAGAAAAGGAAGACTGTACAGTATTTGTAGTGAATACAGGTAGGAACAAGCATGTGAATAAACAAGGAAATATTGGGGAAAATTTTCATAAACCAAAGAAAAATATTTAAAATGTTTGTTTCTCTAATTGTGTTCTCTCAGGCACTTCCCCAGGGGTAAACTCACGGATTTTCTGCCTCTACTTTGCCCCCAATTAAGGCGGTGCCCTTCACTGACTCACTTGTGCAGTGTTGTACCCAGCAAACTCATTTTTTATTGCCTCTTTATCATCCTATAATTGATAGAGAAGAAAAAAAAACTTTCTCAAGAATTTTTTGCTCCCTGGTTTCTGTAAAAAGTCCAATGCCAAGAATGATGTTATTAAAAAAAAAGAAGAAGAAAGAAAGAAAGAGGCCAATTTCTAGTAAGTCCCAATGAATCAGTGTAGATTGCTCAAGCTTCTGGGCAAAGGTTGCTGTTGGGCCTTGAGGGCCGTAAGCACCTTGAACCAGTCTTTTCTTGATCCTTCATGACTATTCTATGCTCTCAGGGGTAGACAGGCGTCCCAAAGCTTTTTTATGTTTTTCTTCATTATTTTCCTTTAGGGATTTGGGTTGGAAAAACAGGAGGTGCGGTGTGGCTGGGGAAAGAGAGGGGTTAAGAGAAAGAGAGAAGTAAGTCTGTCCTTAGCGTTATTTCAATTTGATTATACTGCTGTGAGAGAAAAGTTGAGGGAAAAAAGTCTAAGAAATATAATGTAAAAAGTACTGAATAACAAATAAAATGAGTAAATTGAAAAATCCTCTTCAGGGGGCTTTTTGAGGGACCAAAGCATTATTATTAGTGATAGTGACTCAATCACAGAGAACAAAAATCCCCTTTCACAGACTCTTCCTAAGATGAATATTTTAAAAGAAATGCTTTCGGCACTGTAATTTTGAAACATTTAGGCGTTTCTCTTGGTTGTAGATGTTGAATTGATTTTGTGCATGTTCTTTTGCACCGGGCTTCAAGTTCCAACTTCACTTGACTCTGAGATGGCCCCTTCAACAGACGGTGACAATGACCATCACAATTTGCAAAAGAGATTTTTTTTACAGGCACGATTTTTCTTTCCTGGTAACAAATGCTTCATAAGTTAAAAAAAAAGAAGAAAGACATCCACAGTGCCACCCCCCCCCCCCGGAAAAGAGCTGAGTTGAACACATTCTATTTTAATAGGTAATAGGTAGATAGTAATTCGATTAATACTTAAAAAAAATTAAAACAGTAACTGAGAAAGTCATTTTAATAATGTTTAGAAGGGCAGAAACAAGTAAATTCACAATTGGTGATTGACTACTCACTGCCAAGCATCTCACTTCTGGGTAAGTCCATGAGGAGGTACGGACGGCGCCCTTTGGAACTGAGTACCTGGCCACCCTTCTTTCACTGGGCACTGCTCCTTACCCACCTGAGGCGGCCAGCGTGCTGGCATTTTTGCACTCACCGCTCATCGTTCATCTCCTTTTCTATAGCACTCTGCCTTTGTATGGTTTTTCTTCTCTCTCCCACGATAGTGAAAATTGGTTCAGAGAAATCCTTCAATTCCTAACTCTAAGAAGGTCTAGAAATTAGCCACAGTTAAAAATCCACCTGTAATTGTGAAAACACAATTAGCACGACGGTACGAGTTGCCTTGAATTCTCTCAGCCTTCTCTCTTGTCGGTTCTGCCATCACCAAGATAGGTTTTGGATCAACTTTGGGATCCTTCATTGGGTAAAGAGGACTGTGGGACAATTAAGAGCAGGGGCTTTCATTTTGGTAAAAACATGGTATGTGTATTGACTATTACTATCAGCAGTGGAGGGGCGGAGAGCAAGAAGCAACAGGCTCTTCTCTTTTTTTTATTTTATATATTATTTTTTGAATTTTTAAAAAACTCATATTTTTTGAAAGATTGCAAGCTGCTGCATCAGATGTAGGCAGTTCCAGTCTAGACCTACCGTTTTGTAGCTCTGTATCCTCGGGCACTTTCTGTCTCTTCTGTGAGAAAAGAATAATACAGCCTACCTCACAGACCATTTTGAAAATGGATTAAATGAGATAATTCTATTAGGCACTTGGGAAATGCTCCATAAATGCTAATTTTTAAAAATTGTGGTCTTAATTTTCTTTCCTGTCCTGCAACAGTAGTTCAGGTGACCTTGATCCTCATCTGGAAATCTGTCCCATCACTCCCCTTTGCCACTTTATCACCTTGCTCTTTTATGCCACATCTAATTTTCCTAAATTAATTGATCTTTCTTTTTTTGCCATTAAGGAGAAATTTTCACTTAGTTTCTTCTTAAAAAATAAAGATCATAACACTCAACATCAAAAATTATCCATGGGGTAAAAAACAGATTCATTTTGAAGTGCAAGATAGACCAATGGATTTTGGTGTAACACAGTACAAAAAGTTCACTGATGCGATTTCGGATTCCACAATGCAGCCAAGATTTCAGAAATTATACTATGGAGTCTTGGTTTAGTATCAAAGAATATCCACAATTACCTGATATAGCTATTAAAATACTTCTTCCCTTTACAACTACATATCTGTGTGA